CAGATATGCTCTCCCATATTTCATTTGCATTTGCACCAGTATTTTGCAAATACAGTATGACCTTCTCTTTCTCAGTAAAATAGAACTGAACTTAGAAGAAAAAATTGAGATAAGAGTAAATGCCTGAGCATCTCAGATTGTAACATATATTATCATACAATTTGATGACAGGACAAATCAGAAAGTATCAGGAAAGAACCCCAACACGGATGTTTCCCCTCCTGAGCTAGAAAACCTCTTATCATGGAGGAAGAAAAAACATCTGATGCATTTTGCTTTTCCACTAGTAAATACTGATGGTTTCTACCACAAGGCACCAAAGGTCATGCTTTCTCCAGAAACTGCTTGCATATCCCAGGAAAGGTCTATAACCTGCTTTCAGAAGAATGGATGAAGTATTCCTTTAAACATTATGATGTGTAATTGTGAATCAAGATCATGTTACTGTCCATTTTGTATTGATATGAAAACAGAAATAACTGTAAATCAGAAGTCTCTGAATTGCTAATGTTCCTCTGTAAATACCTTGAAGAAAGATTGTATTTACTTCCATCTTTTCTTATCTATAACTATCACCTGCCCTTGTACAGTTCTTGCATTAAAAGAATGCTTCTGGGTGAAGTGTATACAACTCTTATTTCTCAGGTTCTGGAGCCTCCCGGTGGCCTTCTGTTTGCTTTTGTAAAGCCAAGGCATCAGAAAAGAACTCTACTTTTTCATTTACATTTTTTGCAGTGCTTAGGGACAGTTCACACTTGCCTGTAATCATGGGAGCACAAAGAGCTGCCAGTGTGCTCTCAGCTGGATATGCAAAGGTGCTGTTTGCATGTCACATTAGACACACAGTACTAAACGTCTGGACCAGATTCACTAGTCAGACAGATGAGTAAAAGAAACAATGAGTAATAGGAAGACATGAAGAAGTACAACAGGTATGTTGGGACATACCTATAATCTACTGTGCTGCCAGAGATATAAATTGAGTCCCAAGGTGTAGCAAAATGGTCTTGGTATTCATTGTTTATGGCTCCAGTATTTAAGGAGTAGGAACTGGCCCTTCTCTCAAAAGAAGTTACTCCTTAAATCAAGGGTAGGCAACCTAAGGCCTGGGGGGGGGGGGG